TAACAGCAGATTCTGTATGGGGGTGTACTGAAGCTTGCATTTAATTAGAAACTTCATATCTCAATATTGCTGCCTTCCTTCCTACAGAAATTTCTAGTTTTACATGTTTGGTGTTGGTGAGAAGGTGGGATCTTACTATCTTTAAAAAATCACCCTTATCTTAGTATTATAATTTCTCAAATCCCAACTTCTTGAATTATGACTTAGAAAGAAAAAAGAAAAAAATGTAGTCCTTTTTCTAGAGGAGATTCAGTCCCACTGAAAATGTGGATATACGAATATCCAAAAACAAACCTTGCTTGAGTTGAAAATTTGCCTCTGACTTTTCTGAACACTTTATTAGGGCTTTTATTAGGGCTCTTTTGGCCGTAGTAGTTTGGAAGTTATTACGAGTCTAGAGGCTGCTTTGAAGAACTGTTAGACGTAGAGCCGCGGAGTGAGAGCTGCTAGTTTTGTTGTACTGGTGAACAGTTGAGATGAGTACTGAACAAAAGTGCCTTAGAATGAGAGGAATGCTTCATAAAGAGTGAAGTTGACATGTGTAACATTTTTTCCTTCAGCAGTTTGACTGGGTAAGTACAGGAGGAATTTGTACTTTTTCATCCATTCTCCTGTAGTCTTTCAGAATTCTAAGGAGGTAATAGATGTGTCTCTCTACATAAGCTAATTTTGAAGGCTGATCGTTTGTACATAAGTTGCTCTGAAAATAATAATACCTCCTACTTATTTCGATGTGAACTACAACGGCTACAAAGATCACAATAACACTATTTGATAGAGTAAATTCTCAAGTGAAAAAAGCTTATTCAACAAAGTCATCACCATTAGACATGTGTTTTACCAGCAATAAACAAGGGTTTGCCTGCCGCGCTCTTAGAAATCTGCACCAGTGGAGGTGACCCGCTGTTTCACAGCTGCTGTGGTGACATTGTTGGTAGGAAAATGCTGCCCATGCAGTCCATTTTTCATTGAGGGGCAGAATGTGCCAAAAACGGACTATGTGGTGGGAGTAATGTGACAGTCAAGTCAAAATTCAGTTTGTCGTGCAGTCTTCAGTGTTCTGCTCCCCCCAGTGTGGGGCCTGGTGTTACTGCGTTGCAGGAGAAAGGTTGTTTTCTGTTCTGCTCTGACTCTGGAAGTTGGAGCCTTCAGCTTAGTCAGTGTTGTGATGTAGCGGTCAGAGTTGATGGTTTGTTCAGTTCCAGGTAGTCCAGAAAGATCATCCTTTTCCTATCCCAGGAGACAGCTGACATCACTTTACCTGCTGAAGGCTGCATCTTGAACTTTTCTTCAATAGGGAATTCACTTGTCACTGTTTCATGGACTGCTGTTCTGACTTCAGCTTGTAGTAGCGACACCACATGTTGTTATCAGTAATGGTGTAATCCAGATATTGTCACCTTTGTCCTCATGTTGATGTAATAGGTCCTGAAAAACTTGCGTATGTTTTTTCTGTTCCTGTATGAGCACTTGTAGGATCCATCTGTTGCAGTTTTTATGATGTTCCAACATTGCCGGCATCATTTCCGGTGCATTGAAGCTGATATTCAAACTCTATACTCTGTTCCCTGGTTGTAATCTGCTGGTTGAGATGATTGAGACACTCTTCATTTTGTGGTGTGACAGCTGTGTATGGCTGTCCAGAATATGGCTTGTCTTTCACATCACTGTCGCCACTGCTGAAATCCACCACCCACCGCCTCCACTGGTCTCCACAAACATTCAGCAAGTGTCGATGAATGTCAGCGGTGTCATTTTTTCTGCATGGAGAAAATCAGTTGCACGCCTTTGCTTTGTCCTCACTTCCATGTCAGGCACCATTTTGTGGGACTGCCCCTCTGCTGCCATCTGAGGCACAGCAACAAAATGCCAAAAAGATATCGGTGGGAAGGTTCAACTTCTACTGCTATCCAACCAGCACCTACTTCTGATGTTGTGGGCCGTCATAATAAAATAGCGGTGTTACTTTTAGTGCAGCCCTCATGCCAACTCAGCATGTACAACTCAGTACAAATTTATTCTGATGTTTGATAGCAATTTGAGTGTATTATCAGTTTTCTCGTGCCCTGTAATTGTTCTCAGATGCCTTCCAAGAAGGCAGCTTAAGGATTTAAATATGTAGCTGTGATTTTTTTTTTTTTGTGTGTGTGTTTGTAAATACTCAAAGATGCAGAGAATTATTGTGAAAGTGCATTTGGTTATGAAAAGGAAATCTTAGTATTTTTATTCCCTTAAAACAAGCTGTTCTCAGTGCTTGTAGTAATGGTATTTGAGAAGCAGAAGTTTTTCCTTGGCAGCGTAGATGGGTTTACATTTGGCAAGGTCTGAAAAAAAACCTACTTCCGTCATACAGCTAATACCTGCAGATTTAATTATATCTTTTCTTTAGTACAATAACAATTAACATTGACTGAGAAAGCAAGAATAATACGATATTCAGAGTTTTCTATGCCTGAAGTAACTATACAGGGTTTAAGTAAAGGGTAGAAAACAATTGCACCTTTTTTCTCTTTTTTTGTATAATTAATTTTATAAATATGTTTCTCATAAATAAAAGTAGCTTGTTGCCAGTGAAGCATGTATTTTATATTGCTGAATTATCTGCAGATACAGTTTTGAATTTCAACAACTGTAATTGTATGTACATGTATGCTCGTGTGTTTTTAGATTTTGTTACCAAGGAAAAACCCCAAACCACAATTTACCGAAGAAGGATTATGGAAGAAAAATTACAGAATGAATGAGAATTTCAAAGAAAGAACTCACAAGTTACATTTACGTTCAGAATATGTGCTTTTATTGCAGTTTTCTGGAGTGTGATTTGAAATGAACACAAAACACTACTGACATAATTTCTGTAAAAGATTCTAGCAACTATTTAAATGCAAATGCTGAAAACCAGAATTAATAATGGCTATGCTGAAAGGGTTAAAAGGTAGATTCTGATTAAGTATTGTCATGATTAACATCTGTTAGGAGGAATAAGTGGTTTATTAAGCTTTACAATACAGATGGCAACTGAGGGAGCTCACTTGTGAACTGACTTCTTTTGTAATATCACTGTATTGTTAAGACCTGCTGTTTCCTTGTAACAGAAGTAGTAGTTTGCACAAAAAAAGTTTGTTGTTTACAGTTGCTGTGGAAGACTAAAAGCTAAGAGACCTTTCGAAGTAGAAATGATGAGTTTTAACTTTGGTTTTTCTTTCAGAAAGTGCTTTTTGTATTTTAAAACAAAATTTTCTCTGCTTATGGGAGATGGGAAATAATTATAATTAAACTTTGGAGCCCTAATCAGCTAATTCTAATTTAAATGCTTAGTTTAAGAAGTCTACTATTTCTAGG